TATATGCAATATTTGGCTCGTACTCGAATGCGAGACAAACGCCGTGACACGAGAGTTGTATACACTAGATATATATAGTATATATTCGTATAAATACCTATGCGTACTCGATTGCTACTATATCATCTGATAAGTACCGGAACTTTGTACCATCTCTGGGCATTATATACCATATGTATGTACGTGTGCATGTTTTTCGTTTTGTGACTAATTTCGCATCAAATTTTGGACACACTAGCCCCACTCTTCTGCCGTCCCCTTCGCCTCCCGTACGTATGTACGTGCATAACTGTACTTGGGGGGTTTTTTCAAGTACAGTACTAAAAAAAACGCCGACAGAGGCGAGTCGTCGTAATTGATGTGAAAGTGAAATTTTTCCATTTTGTTGTTGTTTTCTTTCTTTTTTCGGAGCTTAGCTTACACTATTTTTGGTGGGGCAGGGACAGGGAACGGGCAGGGGTCAAAGCCGAGCGACGCTCATTACGGATGACCATAACCTTAAGATTGCTGCAAGCGGAGGGGGGAGAGAGGTTGATCGCAGCTGTTTGCTAGATGCTGAGATGATGGATCCGATGCTGCTGCCGCTGCTCAGGTAAGCCCTCTCCCAGTCCTTACCCAGTTGCACTGAAATAAAAGAAAAGGCAGAGGTGCCCCAGGAGAAGCGGTAAGCAGCAGCAGCATATGACCCCCCCGCCCCCATCCACCACCCCTCGGGGGGGGAGCAGAGAGAACACACACAGAACGAACGCCAGCAGCGGCAGTGGCAGCGACAGCGACAGCGACATCGACGCCAACCGAAGCCAGCGCCGCAGCAGCGTCGTCGCAACGGGTTCAATGGCTGACCCAATTTCAGTCACACAGCGCCGAAAGAGAGCGCGCCGTGGGGAGAGTGGAGTAGTGTGTCGAGAGTGGTGGAGTCGTCTCTCCATCCGAGCGAACGGGAATCATCGTGTGTTGTGAAAGCCATAGCCAGAGGGAGACGGCGCGACGAGCTTAGGCAGCTGAGCAGAACGTGTCGAGCATAAAGCAGAGCAGCCCCATGCAAGTTCAGTGAGTGATCGCCTGCTCTCCGTCTCTCTCTCGCTCTCGCTCTCTCGCTCTGTCTCTGTGTCTCTTCCTCTTTGATTGCTTCTAACTAGAGTTGTTGCTGTTGCTGTTGCTGTCGCAGAGTTGCATTTGTTGTTGTTGTTGTTGCTGTTGCTGTTATTACTCTTGATTGACATTCCATGCGGTTGTTACTGTTGTTGTTACGGGATTTGTTCATGCGCAACGAGTTCGTTGTTACTTTTATGTAATTTCTTTTCATTTCTTTTTTTTTTGTCCGCCTGTCTGGTTTTGTACTTGCCCTTTTTCCATTCACTTTCTTTGCCAGCCAGCACAAGAGCGAAAGATAGCTCACAAGGAGAGGGAGAGAGAGACGGATGGTGGGAAAGTGGGATCGGCTTGAACAGTTATCCCACAGCACAGCCATTGAAGATCTAATGACCGAAGGAGGGAAGGCGGGAAGAGAGGGCGAGCTTAAAGCCAGGAAGAGCTTCCATGGTTACATTTCAGAGAGCGAGAGCTTGGGAACGGTGGCAAGGGAGAGCTTTAGCTCGCAATGGATCACTTATCCATTGAATGCTGAAATTTAATATTATTACTGACTCTAAATGTCCCAGCTTCCAGCAGGATAGTGAGAGCAGAGCGAAGGACAGTATGAAACACCTCGTGCGCTGTCCTCCAACCCCGCAGGCTAATATGTACATAGTTTTTTTTTACTTGCGATTACGTGAAAGTTTATTGAACTTTCGATTTCGCTGAAAAATGCAATACAAAGCAACGGCAGCGGCAGCAGCAGCAGCAGCAAAAAGCTTACACCAATGCAGCAGGCCCAGGGCGTGTGAGGGTCTTAGTGAGTCGCTCGGTCAACGAGTCAATGGCGGCTGTTGGCAATTGCCGCCCCCCGAGGCAGCCGTCGGAGCGAGGTTAGGCGCGGCGACGAGTCGAACCGCCACGAACCGAATCCAATCGAATCACAAATGCAGACCATGAGAAAATCCAACATGAAACAGAAACACACAGCAACAACAAAAACGGGAAAATGTGCAAAAAAAAAAATGAACTAGACAAGCCAACGGTGGCGGGAGAGGGGGGGGCAGCAGGCCAGGGCAGGCACTGCCACGACCAGAGAATACCCTTTGGCCCGGCTCTAGTGACCGGCAGGATTCACTATTAGTCGGAGCGGGGAAACTTATATATCGAATAAGATAAGATTGATTCGAGTCATTCGAGTAATCAATTCTTCTAGGGTTCTCTCTTACTTTGCTCATAAGGAATCGATTATTATTAAACCTATGCATACTTTAAGTATTGAAATCGTTACCTATAACCCTATACCCAGGCAGATGAATATGTAGGGAGGATTCAATCAGTGCAGGGTTCTAGTGGAATACTCTTTGATTATTGTCAAAGCTAATCGTTGAATCGGTTAATCGGTTAGGATATCCAAACCGGTTGGAAAACTCTGAAGAAACGCTTTATTCAAGTCGATAGCGAAACAAACTCGCATGCAGCGCTGATGAGGTTTACGGCTTTCACCTTACCCCAACCCAAAGTAATCCTTTTAAACGTTCGAGGTTACTGCCAAAAACGATTACCCTGACACCCCGTGAATACTCTCATATGTGGGTACGTGTGTCAACGAGCTTGATAGTGTTAGTGTCTTCCTGTTAAAGTTCAAGCTTTGCGCTGGTGGTGTTCCAAAATATGTCTTGGATTGGATTTTCGGTTAATTTGAATAAAGCCACAATCGCTTGACGACAAAAGCAAGCTAACTAAATACTATATATACACAGCCAAGGCTAAATTTGTTTCGTTTTTATACCCTGTATTCAGGGCTACATTAAATGATCAGCATCGACAGTCCTAGATCTCAGGGACTACAAGCAACCGGATTTCGTGTCCAGACTCCTGTGGTATCACGCTGTTTCAGCTCTATTTCAAATTTCTATTTGGATTAGCGGGTTAATAGAGATATGTATATACATATATTGGTATACAGAGACTGAGTACCGGGTATCTTAGTGTCGATGCACGTGTGCCTCGACTCAAGCGTCCCGTCGGGTTATTCCCTTGAGCTGGCATCTTGGCATCAAAGTCAAACACAGGAATAGTACAGGAATAGCCCGTACGATTTTTGTATTTTTTGCCACACTTTCCATTGCATAAGTCCATGTTGAAGGAGAGGAGAATGGAGGTGGGTGTGCAGCGAAGAAAAGAGAGGGAAGGAGGAGCAGGAGTGAGGGTTTTGTGGGGCCTGTTGGGGTTCACGGAGTGGAGTGCAGTGCAGAGGAGTGGAGTGGAGTGGTGCCAGTCAAATGCACTTCCCAGTGGACACTTCCCAGTCTGTCCATCCATCGCTATTAGCCCCAACAGCAAGGCACCTTCCCTTCACATCCCTTCCCTTCCCTTCGCTCCCCCACTCGCTCGCTTTGGCTTTGGCTGCAATTTCAATTGCAAAGCATGAAATTGTTGTACTTCCTTGTTTGCATGCAACATACACGTACACCAACAACAGCGGCCAACTGCCACCTTACCACCCGCCCCACTCACCCTTGCCACCACCCCCCCCCACACATACCGACTCCCTCCGCTGCCCGACCTCGACATGGCCCGGCCTTCCTGGTGCACACACACGTCCCTCTCTGGCATGCAACTGCTTGCACTAGTCGTTTTCTTCATACATACATACATACATACATATGCACATACTTGTATGTATGTCATGCACGTCATTGCATGTTCGCCAACGCATCGTTACCCCAGCCAGCGGCAGCAACCCACCGCCTCCCTCCGCTACCTCCCACCCCCCCTTGCACATTTCGACTACTGTGCCACTGGCTCTTTCATCACGGCAATTGGCGTCACTGCCTGCCTGCCTGACTGACTGCGACTGCAACGACTGAAGCGACGGCGAAGCGACGGCAACGGCAACGGCGACGGCGACTGCAGCCGGCTGCAGTTTGCATCATCACCTTGTGCCGTTGTCAGGGCATTGGCACAGTTTTTTCACTCACTCACACACACACACACACACACACACACGGGGGGATTTTTTTCCTTTTTCTTTTGCATTGCATCTATTTCGGCTTTGGATTTTTCTGGTTGTTGCTTTTTCCCTCTCTCCTAGACACCCACCACTCCCACCCCTTTCGCAGTCAAGTCGCAGTCGACGTTTAAGTTGTTTTGCCATTGCAGTCGATGGATGGATGGATGGATGGTTGGATGGATGGATGGATGGATGGGGAAGCGATAGTGTGACCAGCTGTGCGGGGACAGTTGAAAGTGTGACCAGGTTCGCTTCGCTGCTGCACTCTCGACACACAACTAGCTTAAAGGAATTATTTTATTTACACACACTATCCCAAACAACCTTAAAATAGGTATATTGTACTTATAATATGTATATCATTATTTTGGCACACAAATTATGCCCACTGTATGCCCATTTATCTAATCGATTTCTGCCTCAAATCGATAATATATTTGCGCACATCGGAGTTTCGTCTATTTTCTATGTCGCAGTTGTAATTTTGTACAATGAAAATATCAATTGTTCAAGCTGTGAGTCTCCTCTAGTTTGTACATCACATCGACCTCCTCCAAGAATGTTAGTCGGAAAAGATCTATAGCTAGAAATCTGGTAATCAAAGATCGAAAACCTCCACAGGACCCACAGGTCCAAGGCACCCAAAATCAAAGAATCTTAATCACAATCCTATGCAGAAGATCGTCCGCTCTTCGGGTGCACAAGTCGGAACATCTTTGTGCACATCATGCACTACCCCGTTTCTGGCTAAGGGTATTCATCGCTTCCCCAGCATTCGAACAACAAGTTTGCCACGAGTTAGGATACCGCAGATGCTGCTTGGGGGGGGGCGGAGGATGGTGGCCCGTGGGGCAACTACTTGTGCCGATCTGCGACGGGTCTGGGCGGGTGGAAAAGTCTTGACACTTACCGGGTGAACCAAGGCGGCGGAGGATGCAAAAAATGCTGACGACGACAACCGCAAGGAGGAGGCGACGTCTGGCTTTTCGCTCGAATGAATATGGCTGCAACGAGAAGGAAGAAGAAGACGATGGCGATGAGTAATTATGTAACGAAAATGGGAAAGTAGCGGTAGTGGGAACCACTGCTTAGAGTGTACACTGAAAAAACGAACTCAATTCAACGCCAAAGAACAGTTCGATCTTAACACATACAAATCTGATCTGATTGTAGAAGGACCCCCAAAAGAGCTTTAATTCCAGAGACCTAACAGCTCTGTCTGGTACAGTATGATACAGTAAAAGCTTGCCTGGGTGGACACTTGTCGTCTAAGTCCGCACAAAGAGGTTCCTTTTAGTTGTAAAGCATTTTGCTGACCTAGAGAAAATGCCGCGAAAAGCAGCTGTCCGCCAAAAGTGCTTTCACTGTAACTTTGTTCTGCATTCCTCATCCGGCTTTTTTCATCTGTAGAGCCTCCCCCATCCCCCAACCCCCATCCCGTCCAACAGAACGCTCTAGCACGGTCCTACCTCAACATACACCCCCTGCCCTCGCCCCCACCCACGGCCCACAAGTCAGCGCAGCAGTCGAAATCAATGTCTCTGTGTCTGGCTGCGAGGAAAGCTTTTGAGGGTCGCGGTGAGGGACAAAGTTGAGCAAAGAAAAGCATTAGCAAAAAAAAACACAAGCAACGGGCGGGTTGGAAACAGAGCTGCATCCATACCCAAGCTCTCTCTCTCTCTCTGTGTGTTTGTGTCTGTGCAAAAGCTCTCTCTTAATGGAACAGGGCAAAAAAAAAAGTGCAAAAGCATTGCAATAAAAACTTTGGCGCATCTGTTTTGTCGCCGCTCGGCCGAACCTGCCCCACAGTGCTGGGCCATTGGGATAGGTCCAAGTCCAGGCTGTGCCTGTGCGCACATACACATACACTTGCGTCTGTGTGTGTGTGTGTGTGTGTACTTGTGTGGCTGGTAAAGCTAAAAATAGCTAAATGCAGTGGCTCGCTCGGTCGGTCTGTCGGTCACTTGCCCACCACCTCCCCCACCACCTGCTCCTCCTTTTCTTCCTCTCTTCCTTCTGCACTCTATCACTTTTGCTTCACATTTTATTGCCTTACTTGCAGCTTGTGTTGTTGTTCCTTTTCTCACTCTCTCTCTCCCTCTCTTCCCTCTTTTCCGTTTTCAGCTAGAACTGCAAATGCTTTACCCCCTCCCATGCCTTTGAACATTTTTGTTTTCATGCAAAAAGGTTGAAGACCTTTCACCTACTTTTTGTTCTTTCTTCCCTCTCCTCCCCCCGCTTCATCGCTGGCAGTTTTTTTTCGCTTTTTTTTTGATTTGGTTTACGTTGGTGCTTTCGCTGCGAGCCAGAGCCAGAGCCCGAACGAGAGGCCGAGGGCGAGGGCGAGGGCGAGGGTGAGGCACTGTCAGGCAGAACAGAACTGTAAATGTGTCTAGCGGAAGAGTGAGAGCGTGCAGCTCTCAAGTTACGTACATAGCATGTACAAATGTTCAAAATGTAAAAAATGTACATATTTATGCGTGTGTGTGTGTGTTTGTGTGTGTGTGTGAGTCGCTATCCCTCTCGCGCACATGTAGTGGTGCTGCTTGCACTTGCGGACGGACAGCAGCAGCAGTAACAGTACAGCAGTACGGAGTAACGGAGTCGATTAAGTGAGATCGAGTCGTTGATCAGCGAAACTGTCAACAACTGATGATGGAATGCATTTCCAATGGCATTTTTGTTGCTGGAATTTCTCAAATGTCCTTTTGCAGCCGCATTTAGCTCTCGCTAAAAGGAGTATTCTTATCCATATCCATTTCTGTCTCTAGGAATTATGTAAGATCCAGCCCTACGAATTTAGTATGCAAATATCAGGAATACCCACAACCCACATGAGCCCGATGTATACCAGTTTATTGTTCATCTTTGATGTCCACAATTTGAAACGATGGTATAGGATTTACCAAAACATATGTAATAGCCACTTTTCTGTTAATCGTATTATTTAATGGCCAAACATTACCAATTTCTATACAAATCTTCTTTTTCCCAGGGTGTGCCACAGTCCAGCGAGTCCTCGGCAACAAGTCCTCTCGCTGCAATTGTGTGTCCCTTTCGGTCTAGACACGCTTCCAGGCCCAAGACACGCTTCGTCTTCTGTCTGTCTGCATTCCCCACCCCGCCCCCCCCACCACTCACTCACTCTCACATTTTGTTCTCGCTTTGCATGCTCTCCTCCTGCTTCTGCCTCTGATTCTGATTCTGCTTTCTTTGTTTGTTTGGTTTTGTTTTGGCAAAGCCAATCGCAGAATTTATTTGGGTCAATTATAAATATTAAACGCAATTAGCAATGAAATTTTCAGTTTCATTATCACAGACGCCGACGTCGACGGCGCCGCTGAAGTCGCTGTCGATGTCGGACAGCGTCGCCGTCGCCGTCGCCGCCGCCACCACCGCAAAAGCAACAAAAATTCGCCGTTAACGCAAGCTGATAAGCGTACAGAGGGGGGCAATGGCAGGGGTGGGTCGGGGCAGGTGGAGGGATGTGTGTATATGGGTTTGCGGGGCGGTAAGGGGCTACGCGGGTGTGTGGGATAGGGCTGTCTTTCGGTTTTAATTTCTTTGTCATCGGCGGCATTGGTTCTGCAGACGGGCAATGTCAAGATTAAAGCGACCTTATTTTAATATTTACAGTAAATATGTAAATGCGTACACGCACACTCGCACACTCGCACGTACGCGAATGAACAGTGAAAGTTATCCGCCGTGCTGGAGCCCCAAAGTATTCGTACATTCTGTGAATTATGCATTGTACATACATATGTAGGTACATATGTACCAAAATTCCATAAAATGCATTATTTGATCGGAAATATTCCCATTTGATCAGAAAAAATACGAACAAATATATAAACAAAAGAGATATGTGCTGATGAGATATGAAGTGCTAATGGAACTGATCCAAAAAAAGCTTTAGCTGTAATTTCTTGATAGGTCATTCATTCGGTGATTGCTCAAAGTGTGCTCAACCGCTGAATCACCTCTCCAAAGGGAGTCTCATTATTCGAATGACAGCAAAAGACCAGAAATGTTCGATAGCAGGAATCGTACATACCAGTACCAGCCAAAAGCTAGTTTGATGGGCCCAAGGGCTCTCAATTCCGGAAACTGCTTCAAATTGCAATCAAATGGCCCTGTCTTATGATTTTTAAGATCGAGAACTATCAATTTCAAGCGGATAGAAGCACGCAGCGATGATGTTCGAGCTGTACCGAAAAAATCAAACTGCCTTAACACAGTTTGGTAGAAAATTCAAAGCCTATTTGGGGCTGAAGTATCCTAAATATATACTTTCCACTTATTAACCCACTTATCTTCCCATGTATCTTAGAATGCTAACAATTTTATTCGAAATTTGGGACCATTAAAACGTACGTTTTTTCAGGAGGAAATATATAAATAAACCATACTTTTATAATACAGAGACACTATCTGATCTGTTGACATTTCGTGTGCTTTCTTTCAGTGCAACCATGGGGGGGTACCGTTATACCCAATACAGCCCTGGAAATAATGCAATAAAGAGAGAGAGCGAGAGGAAGAGCTGCCAGCTTTGTGCTTCCTGATTCGATTCTGGAAATGGTAATTCCGTTATTTGAAAAGTCCTTGACAAATACAAAACGATGACCAAATGGCAGCATTGGCCATACCCCACCACACCAAACCCCACCATACCCCGTCATACCCGTGACTCCTCTGCTTCGCGCTCATTCTATCCACTTATCAAACTGCAATGAACTGTTACCCCAAGCACTTTCTATCCCCTTCAACCTCTCGCGCACAAGCTGCTGTTTGTCTTTGACTCGAAATGACCTTAAACTGGGTTAAAGCTCGCCAAAGTTACCTCAGACGCGGAGCATAGCGAGGGGGCTGCACATAAATTGAACTTTCCGTGCAACCGAGCATAGCCGAAAGCGCAAAGAGAGGGAAAGAGAGCGAGAGCAAGAGCGTGAGCGTGAGAGAGAAGCGGAAGAGAGCGAAGCAGTTTGTTTGCCTAAATGCAGCTCATGAATCATTCACATGAAACTATGAATATGCAATGACGAACAGAACCGCTTCGAATGCACCACGAATAACGAGTTCATTCACTCTTCGAATGAGATGCGAAATAATAGTGGTCTGTCTACCTGCAACCGCTTTTAATATTTTGTTTTAAGTCAACATATTTATATATCATACCAAAGTTTTCCTTCTGCCAGAAAGATGAAAGCCGAAAATTCACTGAGCTTTTATTAATGTATGCGTGCGACAAGGACAAATACACTTATCCCGAAACAGTTGGTTCTTCTAATTGCCCTCGCCGTAATTTCGTTTCTATTTGCCAGGAGAAAGTAAAAACAAAAACTATTCATCACTCACTCATTTGCGCTCTCTCTCGTAAACATCATGGATCAAAAAGTTTGACGGGTCTTCGCAACGTTTTCTATTGTGGTTGTGCCCGCCCGCCCACTCCTCTGTCGCTGTCGCTGTCCCTGTCCCTGGTGTCGCTCCATATTCGGTGTGGGCGTTAAGTCAGCTGCGCAGTCGGAAGAGACAGCGACCGAGAGAGAGCGCAACTGTTTTTAAGCTTAACTTCCAGCAACAGCAACCAAGCAGAGAACATTTGCCGAGTGAGAGAGCAGCGCACCGGGAGAGAGAGAGAGAGAGCAGCGGCCAAAAGGTGAATGACTTGAAGTTGCGCAGCCAGCTCGCTCGCTCATGCTCATGCTTTTGCTCTCTCGACTGCGGCAGTCGCTGCTGCTGCTACTATTTCAATTTTGGGCGATATTGTTAATGCAGGCCATTACATACTCATACTCGTATAGTAGTTGATGTTTTTGTCTGTCTAAAATTGAGCGACGAACTTTCCTAGCTAAGGCTGATCTCCCCGCCCCGCACCGCCCCCCACCAACCCGCGCAATGCCCAAAACACTCTACTGGCAGCAGCGAGCTTTCAACACTGCGAAAGCTTCTCGCTCAGCGCTCGTACATACTTCGCACAGTGGGTCGTTTACTCAAAACACCTTCCGAAAATCATAGCCTTTTGTACCGCAAAACTCCCTTACTTTTTTAATGTTTACTTCCAAATAAATGGAAGTAAAAACAGCAAGAAACTTTTTGAACTGTGCTGAGGATAGCTGAAGTAGCTCCAAAAATCATTTGCTACAAGGTCCTACAATAATTAAATCTTTTGCATTAATTACCCTAATCAATTCTTAGCTGTAAAGTATCGGCATGTCACAAGTTGATTTTTGCAGCGTGTTTTTGAAGAACGAACCACTGTGCGTGGTTCGGGCGTCGCTTCGGCAACGGCAATGACAGTGTAGCGAGCAGCACCTCGTACTTTACATTCTGCCTTAGTAGGTCAACAAAATTCCGGACAATGGCCTTTCGCTTTCGTCTGCGCGCGTCTGCGATGCGGCGCACAGTGGGGCCCACTGACTTTTTAGCTTGTGAAAACCGTATCTCCTGAAGTGATGAACATATTTTCAAAATTCAAATGGCATATGCTTGCACAGCTCTCAAACCTAAAAACGAGTTCTCAAACAGGGTGCTGCGCTTACAAGGTGATACTATTAAAACCAGATTATGCATATTAAAGGATTTCGTTAATTTTCTTGACTGAAATTATTGTCAAACTAGTTTTCCTATTTACAAAATACTTATGAACTCTCGAGACTCGGTCCTAGGCCCCACTGTTCTGTCCTCAGCGCCAGCGTCGTCGCTGCATCTAGAAGTCGACGCTGAAGTCGACTTCGGCGCCAACAGCGACGCAGGCAGCAATGAGCTTTGAAATGTAAATATAAGCAAAGCTGCCTGACTGACGGGGAACACATGTTTCACTGCTGCCGCTGTGACTGCCTATGCCTCGACCAGCCATCCCCCCCAACCCCCGATCCCCCTTCCACAATATCGCTTTCATGTTTGTTTGCAGTGGCTTCCATATGGCGACGACGCCGATGCCGATGCCGATGTCGATGTCGACGTCGACGTCAGCGGCGATGGCACGATGAACATGAAGATACTTCAGTCGCCGTCGCTGCAGTTGCTGATGCATTCGGCGATGGCGTAATGTGCGCAAAAGTATGGGCATGGGCATGGGCATGGGCATGGTCGCATGGAGCGCGGCAAAATATTGATTGCGAATGTCTGGCCAAACGGTTATCTCTTCTAAAACGGTACACATCAATAAAAAGGTCAAAATCATCTTGATATACACTATAGACGGGTCAAGAATGCATTTCAAAGATACTTACATACTGACATACTCATATATATGGTATATTCAATCAATCACAGCCCACAATTCGCACTCACGTTAGATCCGTGACTGGCAAATTGCAGTTAGGCTAAAAACAAGCAGTATTCCAGCAATATTCCCCTTCATTTACTGTTTTTTTTATAAAATTTGGAATCTCCGACTTCCGAGTGTAAAATCATCTTAGCCCCCAGCACTTTGATAATTTTAAAGATATTGAAACATATTGATCCGTTAAAGATTCCAAATGACGATGACACCTGAGCGTATTGAACACATTTATGAGTAAGAAAGGGGAAGTCTATCGGAGACCTAGACTGCTGTGTATATTTCTGACCTGAAGAAGCCAGCATAAACCGGGTGGAGGGACTCCTCGACATCCTCTTTGGAATCCGATAGCTCGCCTGCCCACGAACATTCAATTTAAGGACATTCCTTTAAGGCAGAAATAAGACATTCATGTGAAACATATTAATATTGCATTTATCATGCTCATTTGCCTAGACTCTAGAGAAAAATCAATCTTCAACGAGCTGAATCTTTAGTCAGAAGCGTATGCTTTTTTATGGAGTTTTTTTTTGTATTTCGATTATTATCTCCACTCAAGTTTCAGGTGGCTTTTGTGCTCCTTCGAAATGGGAAGGACACCTCCCATGCATCGCAGCACCGCCGCTAGGGACACCGAAAGGAGCCCAATGCCGTGCCAATGGGAATACTGGAACTATAACTGATTCCGCTTAGATGAATGATTCAGATATTCAGATATTTTTAGGTAGCTTTAGATGGAATATCATTGCTTACAAAACATGTACCTAATGGGAGCTCCTTTGATTGATGATTAGCTTATAAAGAATGTATCATAGGAGAAGTATCAAGGAGTCGGATACTCTTCCTTCTGGCTTTTACATTCACCTGCACGAATAAAGTACGAGTATATCCCCGAAGTGCTCTATGTAAGGATGAAGAGAAGCAAATTACAGACACAAAACAGATCGAAGCTGGGGAGCGGCCAGGCCACCCGTCAGGTGCATACATATGTAGGTTAAAGGGCAGCGTTCGTTGGACTCCCAGACTGAAGGACTCACGGGCTGGAGTGTGGGGTGGCCTTACATAAAGTCACTCCAACCATCCATCCATTTCTACTGGCTGATGACGTCGTCGCCCACTATAGTCACGTACACACACACATACAAGTGCGAGTATGTGTGGTCCAATAGGCGGCCCAGACCAAAAGCAAACCCAGCCCCCAACCCGCCTGCAGTACGACCCACAATCCACGCCCAACTCCCAACTCCCATCTCAATCGAGTGCCGACTCCTGGCCTCTCCATTTTGTATACCATTTGGAGGTTATCACAGTTTTTCCAACGTGTTCCCAGTCCATAAACTAGTCTCTCGGTTACGCTTTATAACCTTTGTATACCATTTGAAGGATTCTACGAATCGAAAGTGATCCACAACGATTCGGTGATTGAACAGGACTCGGGGGGGGACCTTTTTTGGGCTTCAATCTTCAGCAAATCTCATGGAATGATCTGTTTGGACTCTTTCTTAAAACACAATTCTAGAACATGGTTTCCATAATTTCAAAATGCCCAAAAATATCAAACAACCCAATCCAAATGCAAATTATATTGTTAGCTTTTTGGGAAACCAAAGACTTACCCCTCGTTTCCCCTCTTCAAACGGTCCTTGGTTCGAGCTTTCTTACTCGAAGTTGAGGTTGAGGTTGAGGATGAGCTGGTGGATGATCTGACCACGGCTGGTTCCGATCGGTTGTTATATATATAGCTTAAACCAAAGCTGATTCGACAATGCACAATTTTTTTGTTGCTGTAACGAAAGCGAGACAAGAGGGAAAAATAAGTTTGGTTTGCGGTAGAACAAAAAAGAAAACAAATCAAATTTTGAAGAAGTAACGCTTTAGCGAGTGCAGCAACCCAAACGTGTTGCCCAGATGGCGCCTTGGTGGCAGATGGCGTTAGCTCTGGTGTGCATTTACAATAGATGGCGACAGGCAGCCAACCGTAGTTTCGCGCAATCTACATAGGCGGCGACAGGGCGCAGCACAACAAGCGTGAAAAGAGAGGCCAAAAGCCTCTTAGACCTCGCCTCTCTTAAAACGGCTCTCTTCGGACGGTGCCTCTGTGTGCGTTGTTCCCACTCTCTGTCGCCGCTCTCTTCGACTGCTGGCTCTTGCTCGTGTTGTTGTGCCTGCAGTTTGTGTGTCAATCGGTTTCATTAACCCCGACGAATGTGCAGCAGCAGCAGCAGCGCAGCAGCGCAGTAGCAGCAGCCGCAACCACGGCGTGCAGCGACGCCGGCTGCGGCCACACAGAGACAAGAAAGGTCAACAAAGTACGTTTCATGGACACAAGAGCATGGCATACCCTGGAGCTACTACTAAGGGTATATTTTATTCGAGTATAGTTACGATAAAATCTAAAATATATTTAATCAAGCTTAAATCTTTTCCATAAAACTCTTAAACACATTTACATATATATCCACATGATCTGGACGATATATGTATTTGGAAAGTACACCGAACAATAGATCAGATCAATTATTGATCAGCAACAATACTGGAGTGGAGTCGATATGGCCCTTCAGAACCAAATTAGACGATTCATGCCTTCGTAATACCCTCGAAAGCAAAGAACTAGTAAATCAACAATATATATCCACATTTGAAAATATTACCATAGCTAACAGAATGATAAATCTGAAAGGGATAAGCCAAGTGCCTCCACATCCTAGCCGAATAGCACCTGCAACAGGACCCCGCCCCACGCCGCCCTTCAAGCAGTCTCTGGAGGAGTTCTCTGTCTTCCTCTTGGAAAGAGATAGAGCTCGCAGAAAAGCAGCAAAGCGAAACCCAAACAAAAACAAAAACAGAAATCTACAGGAAAAGCTAAAAAAAGATGGGGAAATTTCAAGGAAAGCGCCAAAGACCGCGACTGAGACTGGGACTCCTGTCAGGTGGAAAGAAAACCTAAACGTCCGTCCAGTCCATCAGAATCCATCAGAACCATCTCAAGATCCCCACAAATACGAGCACTCTCGAAAAGTTAACGAAGCATCAAAGTCCGAGGCAGTGAATCAGTCAAGAATGCTCTCCCTCCCTCCCCCTCTCTCTTCCAGTCACGGGGGACATTCGAATACTTCCAAGTAGGACTGGGTTATTGCTTTTGAGAATTCTTACGCGCCCGCCATTGATTGGGGGACAGCGGGAGAAAAAAAACAAAGAGTTTCATGCAGTTTTTTTAAGCAGAACTGAAAAGCCAACAAAATAGTAGAAGATCTAGAAGATTGTACATTGGAGAACTGCAATAGTCTTGGAATGCTCATGCCAGCTTATTTCGAATAAAATCGCATGTGTTTTATGTTTCAATATTTATAAGAAACATTTAAATATCACAACAATGGTCCCTGGAGACAGTCCTTCTTGTTGTCTGAGGTCTGAGCCCCCCAATCCGCAATATCTTCGACTGTCAGTGTGCCTGGGAGTGAATGCAGTGTCCTCTCAAGGCCTTTAACCCCACGACCCTCTCGAGTGCTTAAGATCCAACAACAGTTGTCCGAGGGCTGGTTCACTTGTTGTTGGTGTTGCTGTTCCGCGTCCCGTTTCCTGCCGCACTGGCACTGCCACCTCATGCAATCTATTTCCTATTTACATACCTTGCACCCAACCCCAACACCAACACCAACCCCAACCATTCCTGGCCCCCGCGACCGCCCTTTAGGGCTCGCTGCTGCACGAGCACGAGACGACGACGTCGCCGCCAGACGGCGACGGGGAGTAAGGGGCGGCCAGGGTGGCAGGGTGGCACCCTGGCGCACATGCAAATAAAAATAGATTTTTCTCGGTATATAGGATAACGACCAGGAACGACCCCAAAGTTGGCGCTGACGGCGACGGCGACGGCGACAGCGACAGTGACGCCAACATTCGGGCAACGACCGACAAAAAGAAAACACAAACATATCCCCAGGCACCTACTGCGGAGCTCTTCTCCCCACCTCTCTCCTTGTCATTCTCTTCATCGCTCCATCTCGGACTGGTGTTCACCTTCCCTTCCGTGTGCTTGTTTGCCAAAGAGAGAGAGAGAGAGAGAGAGAGAGAGAGGCAGAGAGCCACGGCATTTGAAGAGAGTGGAGAGCTCTCAATGCTCCCCTGCTCCGTGCTCCGTGCTCCGTGCTTAGCTGTCTCTGTCCCTCTTGAGGTCCTAGAACTTCATCTGTTTGTGGAGTGTAGGGGTTGCTGACCTCTTCTCAGGGTCGCCAAAGGTTGTTGAACTGATTGTCGCTCTCGCTCGCCCTCTCCCTCTCTCTCTCTATCTCCCTATCTCGCGCTCGCCCGCAAAGGGAATCCAATATATGCCGGCTCTGGCTTCGGCTCTCCCTCGCCCGCTCGCCCGCTCTCCCTGTCGCCCTCTCTCGCTCTTTTGTCTGTGTGGAGCTGTGTGTGAGTGCGGTGCGTGTTTGTGTTGGTGCCGATGAGTGTCTGCGGCAAGGGTCGCTGCCTGCCTGCTGCTCTGCCTGCTGCTCTGCCTGCTGCTCTGCCCCTATCTTCCCCCTGCCGCCGATGCTTCAAATGTGTGCTGGTCGTTGGCCTTTCAGCTAGCTCTCCCTACCTCCCTCCCTCCCTCCCTCCGTTCCTCCCTTCCACAATCTTTGGCACTCTTGTGACGTAATGTGGCAACAGGGCATTCCCAACAGTCTCGCATCCGCTCTTCCCCGACCCGCCCTGCACCCTCCTCTCTTGCTCCTGCTCCTGCTGCTGCTGCCGCTCCTGCTGTTTGCATTGTTGCTGCTGCTTTTTCTCCTTTTTTTTTTGCTCGTGTTGCAAATGTAGGGCTGCTTCTGCTGCACTCTTTGTCCGTGCTTCTGTCTGTTCCTGTGTGCGTGTGTGTGTGTGTGTTGTGTGTGCATAGTTCAACATTGTCTGAGGTTAGGGTTGAATGCTCGACCGACTGGGTCTGGCCGGCCCCTCCCCACCACTGGCTGCAGGAACAACAATATCCCGTTCGAATATGCATCCCCGGCCATCTTTAATCAGCCATCTCCTCATCCACCACATCCTTCCTAACCTTTTTCCATATACTTAACGAACTTATAGCCTGGAATGAAGTGCTAGTGCCATCGCTCACTCGTTGGAGAAAGTCGTTCCACTGCGAATCGTCATGTGACTGCCAATCTGCCAGAGAGTAATTCTCGATCCCACAAAACCCATCAAAACCTTTTCTATATTGTTACATTAGCATTTCCAAAGATACGACAACGGACACTCCCCGTGAAAATACATACAAATAGATAAAATCACTGGAATTCCAAATAGAAAGCGCTTGCTATCGATATCGATATCGACGCTGGCGGACGCCGGCTATTGCGTCATGAGAGTAGCTGATTTTCCCGTTTTACATCCATAGGAAAGCCACCAAATTTTGGAAATCACCAAAATTATAGGCTATTTTTAGCCTTTTCTTTGTAGAGTTTGTGGCAGTTCTTTCCCACACCATGAATCGAGTCGATCTTCTCCTCCCATTTAAACAGCTGTGTCTTTATGGTCTCAAGGGTTCACAAAAGTGTCATATCCCATGAAAGAATTATTTTTTAAGTATTTGTTTTAAGGATAACAAGCTCATTTCTGCCCTTTTCCATAATTTATTATAATTTTTTGATCTGCCACTTTTTTTTTGGGAAGAAGGACCTCAAAATGTGCTGTAAAGCGCAAAAAAAATCGAATATCCTATGTAAAGCAAGCTTGATTTGATTATTTTTATATATATGGGCATTACGTGCGATCGTACGAGTTTGTTGTCCAAAAATGGTACGATTCGATTGCATTTTGTTAGCTCTGTGTTTAGTACAAGAGATGGGGCTTATCGAGTTTTAGTTTCCATAATTATCGCAATAAACAAATGGTTTATTAGAAGAAATAGAAGTCAAATCGGGACGAAATATTCGAAAGCGATTAATTTATTTCAAAAGAGGATTTATGTATGTAGAAATCTACAAGCCTATCGAGTATTTACACAATAAATTATCTCTATTGGTGTTTTGGAAATTCAATTAAGTACCAGTTTTTGTTCCATTGCCTCACATTCTCCCATGATCCTCTCTGAGCGTACATGAGAGAATGACGCACACAGCCGGCAAAGGATCATGCACTGACAACAGTCTTGTGGGCTTAATCATAGCAAGTTTGGGGCCAAACATATCCCACATATCTACTACTTTCAAGATTGGTTCTCAGACGCTTTGCTTCCAAGGCCGGGTACTGCCTTCGACCACTTCTTGGGGGAGTACCGCCGTCGCAAGGCAGGCCAAGAACCTCCCAGCAATTGCTTGATGGCGCCGTAGAGTGGCGGAAGAAGCAGACTGAATTCCGTAACAAGCTGGAGGAGACTAAAACGCACAGGAAACAGTGTTTAGGGAGCAAATTACGTGCCATTCGGACTTCCGAATTCTCGACGAGTGTCGAGAGACGAGTTTTTTGGGGGAAATCCCAAATGATGTGCTTCTTGAAAAACTTGCTGGAAGCAGATTACGAGAGGTGGTTGGAGTAAATAAAACAGCTCTAATGGCCACTCCTCCGGAGTTTGAGGACCAAAATAAGGTTGTTACATCACGGTTTCCTGCAGATGACGATCCGAATTACTGGATCCGATTTTAAGCGGAGCGGAAAGTGACCAAGGTCCCTCCAAGGACGATGTAGAAGGCGCATTTAAAGCTTTGAAACTAAAATATATCTAAAAACAAGTAGCTCTGCAACTGATAATCACTATACACTATGCCTAGCCCATTGACCAGATGATGAGTATCGATCTATCTCTTGGGATAGTCAAGGGTATGAGAGGAAGACATATCAATAGCAGACTAAGAGTTCGACTTCGGAAGCGAGAAGGGAGAAGACGTACGTAATAAGATATAACAAGAAACTCATGTGTAACCTATTTGGACCAAGAGTAAACATCATACCTGATTACTGAATACAACAACGTGGGCCGTATTTGTTCATGGAGTTTCTGGAGCGGATTCCTACTCACTTGTAGGGAGCTCACCGAGGATCCCTACATACATGTACCCCTTCTACTTGTTCTTATGAGTGTAAAGTGGCTAGCAGCTAACTTTCCACGGAAGGGGGGAATTAAGAATCCTACAAGTTGGGTTACGTTAGGTAACAGCTCACTTGGACCTGTCACAAGGTCCATTGTGCTGCCGCATGGGCGTGTGCCCCTTCTCAATGCCTAAAAACCTTGGAGATCGAACTGTTACAAATTAGGGGCAGTCCCATCGCAGAGGCTTGGATGAATTTAGACAAGGTCCCAGGCCTGATTTCGGAAAGGTGCGAAATGTCCGTGAGGAAAGGGGCCCCGAGAAACCGAAGACGACGACTTCCAAGGGCCGGGCAATGACGGAAGAAGTGGGAGAGTCCTATCAGTGAGTCGGGAAACACTTTTATTGTGTGGATACATTCATTAGCTGTAAATCAACGACTTGTTTTCATATAATTTTTCGGGAATTAACAACCAAACTTGCCTTGAGTAAGTCCTCCATAAACAGGCCTCGGGACGTAAGATAAGAGCCACCCCACCGGACGCTTCTTAAACGCTTGAGCATCGAAAGACGGTTCAAAATTCCATAAGATATTAGAAGGGAGCTTATTCAATCGGTTGGTACCGATATTAGCACCAAACCTTAACGGTGTCGTCTTAAGGCCTGCAAAACGACCACTTTTGACACTAGAAAAGCCCCAGAGGAGGTTCCAATGGCCCAAACTCAGCGAAACTTGGACTGGTAGTCAAAGATAAACCTGATTGGTTCGGATAGTAGCAAAGTCGAAGAACGCTGGGACAAGGAGTCAGCAGTATCTGGCACTATTTAATAGATTCATTCAGAGGAAACCCTCTTACACACACTTCCTCATCTTCTAGGACTTTTCTGCTCCTTGCCATTTTTGTAACCTTGCTGTTTCATGTTGCATGATTTACACAAAGGATCTTGGACAGGCCGGGCAATGGTCCTGAGTTTAATCCAATCGAGAATCTTTAGCACATCATGACGGTTCTTTGGAAGACCCAAAACTGTGCCAGAATTGAACAACTGTAATTGAAAAGGTATGCCATATCTATGTAAAAATCGAAACAATTTGAAATCTATTCGATTTAAGGCCAACATTCATGAAAGTAAAGGTGGAAAGAGAATACTTTTTGAGTGACGATCCTTTCGAAAACAAAGAAGATTTGGGTACAAAACTGTTGTGTGTTCTTTAGCTTATTGTATTGGTTACTTGGTCCACATTTCACAGTCCGTTACTGTACATTTATGATTTTATTTACCTTTCTCCCTTCCTCCTTTGCCGTAAGGTATTGGCATTTCTTCTGATTTAGATAAGGACTAGTGTTGGATATTTCTTTGGCAAGGTCTTTCATTTGAGTCCAAACATTTGGCTAATATCATTAGCCTAGATTTTTGTGATACAAATGCTAAGATAATGTGAAATCTAATCTGTGTTTTGTAAAGCTGAAACTTACGATATATGAATGTATTCTCTTGGCTTGTTTGTTTGCTTTGTAAACACTTTGAACTGAATCGCTTATCCTCACTCTTCGTTTCATAACTTGGGCCACTTCTACTTCTATTTCTGCTGC